GGGAAGACAGAGCTGTGTGATCTTGGCAACATCACTTAACCACTTGTGGGCTCAGTTTCTGCACTTGTAAACTCAGGAGAGTGCATACTTCTTAACATTTGTCTGCTGCTTGACAATTATATTACATGTAAAGCTCCCAGCACAGTCTGATACATAATAGCTAATTTGTTACCATTATTCACTTTGTTTCCATAATCTCTATTCATGTACATTCTTGAACAGTAGTAAGAACCAACACCAGACATTCACTTTATACCTACTAAATTCAGATGATTAAGGAGATTCAGTCTCGTATTTTGTGTAGAGGTCAATTTTAATTACTCTCATTCTTGGTGAATTATATACAGTGATTATAATTAGAATATACAACTTAAGAGAGTCCTTTCATATTTCATAATTTAATTTACATTGCAAACAGTGATGTAAGATGGAATGTATTGTTGTTACTTTAGAGATCAGAAAAATGTCACTTTCTGCATTGAAATGACTTGATCAAAGTGAAGACAGAAACCTGCACCTTTGACAGCCAAGTTTTGTGTGGTTTTGTGACATTATGCTGTTTTCTCACAAAAATAAATGTTTCTCCCTTTTGTAATAACATGTTAGAGTGGACAAATGGCTACTACAAGAAAAATATGTTAGACTACTGAAAACTTTTTGAGGTAACTGAAGAAGTTAGGTCAGTCTATAAAGCAAATAAGAACTGAATATTTCCTGCTGAGAAATCATTTTTCTTAAAAAACCTAAAATCTTACATATAGTTAATATAGTTGTTATACTTAAGACTGATGTAGAATTGGTTTGACTGAGGTTAACTTCATTTTCTTTAGGTTTGTTTTTTGGCATGATTTGTGTTAATTTACCTAAATGAACTAACTGTTTCATTCCCCAGTCTTCAGCATATTACAAAATGAAATTGCATTAGAAAGTTAGTGCATTGATATTAAAATTTGATAATGTATTTAATATACTTTTTTAAAATGTAAGGTAATATGTTATCATTATAAAATATTTCACTCGAGACAAGTGCTGGGCATAGAAGCCACAGGGCATAAATCTGCAAAGAAGTAAAAAGCTAACCTTTGCAAACAATATGGCTTCTCTCTCACTTACCAACTTTACATTTCCCTGTATGGCCCCGGAAGATGACTGGTTAGCCAGAGACGGGTAAGATTCCTCAAGGGAGGAACAACCTAAGACAGGCACAGTCGCAGGGGGGCCATCAGGTGAGAATTTGGGGATCAACAGAGGTGAGGCTCAGAACCTCACCCCCCCTGCTTTGAGAGAAATCTTCTGCATCCGTGGATGTCTTGCTGCCCTTGTCTAGCCTGGATTGGTGCTTGGTCCGTAGGCACACACCTGATCATCTGATCATCTATATTTGCCTTCTTGCAGCACTAGACTGTGTTTTCTGCCTTTGTCTTGCGTCTACCTACCACTTCAGCATTTTATTAAAAATAAAAATAATAATAATAATGGGAGAAGTGTGGGATCAACATATAAATCAAGTACAAAAATCAAATGAATATTCATATATGACCTGATGGTTTGTAGGTCATATTGCATGATCAAAGCCGAAGGTTTCTGTGATGACTGCCCTTGTACTGTTCACCATGTAAGAATTTATTCACTCTGTAAGAATTCGTTCACCATGTAAGAACTTGTTCGTTATGCTTCAGAAGATTGGAGACTGACGAGAATTGGGCTTGGGATGGATTGATGATTGTACATTGAGCATTGACCCCCCTATATTCAATTTTGTTGTTGTTAACAACCATTTGATCAATAAATATGAGAGATGCCCTCTCAAAAAAAAAAAAATAATAATAATAATATTTCATACTCAATCTCCTAGGTGTTTTTGGAAGAAGTTGATATATTCATATGGAAATTTGGATGTTCTTGCTATTTTTAAAACAGCTAAGTTCAAATTATTTGCTCAAGAGAACACTAAAAACATATTTTAAAAAAGATTTATAATGGAAAATAAGGTGGATAAGAATTTTAGATGCAGGATATGAATATCTTATGAATACACTGGGATCAAGGAGCCTGGCCTTACTTCAGAACTTTTTCTTTGGCCTTACCAAGAGCAATGTAAGGTCTGAGATTCTATCTTACTTACAAGCTAAAAACAAAACTGCTACTGTTTGATGACTCTGGGCTGGCAGAAGATACAAGTCTCCTACCAAAAACAAACTACTTCATAATTCCAGCAAAAGCAGCCACTGAGTGTCAGCAGGTTGCTTGTGCCACTTCTCTATGCTCCCTTCGCAATCCAATAGGGGTGACACACAGGACCAGTGATGGATGTCTGTGCATGCTCTGGGTTATGCTAAAGAAGAGCACTGAACATTTTTCCAATGAAGAAATACAGATGGCCAACAGGCACATGAAAAGATGTTCCATGTCGCTAATCATCAGGGAAATGCAAATCAAAACCACAATGACATATCACCACACACCAGTCAGAATGGCCACTATCCAAAAGACAAGAAATAACAAATGCTGGCGAGGATGTGGAGAAAAGGGAACGTTCCTACATTCCTACACTGTCAGTAGGAATGTAAATTAGTACAGCCACTGTGGAAAGCAGTATAGAGGTTCCTCAAAAAACTAAAAATAGAATTACCATATGACACAGTAACAGCATTCTAGGAATTTACCCAAAGAAAACAAAATCCCTCATTCAAAAAGATATATACACCCCTATGTTTATTGCCATATTATTTACAATAGCCAAGATATGGAAGCAATCAACATATCCAGCAACAGATGAGGGGATAAAGAACATGTGGTACATATACACAATGGAATATTATTCAGCCATAAAAAAGAAATCCTGCAATTTGCAACAACATGGGTGGACCTAGAAGGTATTATGTTCAGTAAAATAAGCCATATGGAGAAGACAAATACCATATGGTTTCATTTATATGTGGAATCTAAGAAACAAAATAAAACAAAATGAACAAAATAGCAGTAGACTCCTAGACACTGAGAAGTGACTGGTAGTTACCAGGGTGGGGGATGGGTTGGGATCAGTGGGTAGGTAGGGTGAGGGGGATTGAGAACTCAATCATAATATTAGTCAGTCACAGGAATGGTAGTACAGCATGGAGAATATAGCCAATGATTCTGTAACATCTTGCTATGTTTACAGATAGTAACCACACTAGAGGGGGTGAGGATTTAATAATCTGTGTAACTATTGAACCACTGTGCTGTATAGTTGAAACCAATACAATATTGGGTATCAACTATACTTCAATAAAAAGAAAGAAAGGAAGAGAAGGAAGAGAAGGGAGGGAGGGAAGGAAGGGAAAGAAGATAGGTAGGTTCTGAGAAATAATAAAGAATACTGACTTGGGGGATTCACAGCTTCTATAAAAAGAAAAAACAAGCCTACTTTTTGTCTGGAGGGAGGTGTTACCTAATCCCTCAAAGTTGCTCCCTGCAAGCACACCCTTAAAAATGGCCCAGATAAAGAGTATTCAGTGTCTTTCATTCTTGTCAGACCCAAAAGAATATGCTGGAATGCTCAGGTGACAGCAGACTGCCTTTCCCAACAGCAAGCAACTCTCAGCAGTGTTGAGAAAGACATTCCTCTAAAGGACAAGGCACACTGCTATCAGGGACAATGCTCTCTCTGCTGGTGACTCAGGAGGAGCAAGGGAAGTCCTGCACCTTTGAAAAGCCTCTAGGTGATTTTGATGTGACCACTTCTCTGTTCTAAGCCCTGGTGGCCGTAAGAAGTTTTGGGGGTGGGGAGTGCCATGACCATATTTTTATTTTAGAGAGTTAAGTCAAGGCATAGTGTGGAGAGTGACCAGAGTAGACAAGATGCAGAAGACCTAATTATGGAGGCTGTTGTGACAACCATGGGGAGCAACCGTGGGGTGATTCGAGTTAACACAGATTTGGATGTAGAGGATTGACCAAAAGGGGAGTGCCAGACTGGACGGGGGTTGGTGAGGGGTGGAGAACTGTTGAAACTGACTTACTGTTGAGGAAATCAGCAGGTAGGAATGTGAGAGGATAGGAAATTTCAGTATGAGAAGGTATCAGTTTCAGTTTTTGAAAAGTTGTAGTTGAAAGATGTACTAATTTCAGGGGACTAAAGATTGAATTTAAGTGGGCTCAATATATATATATATATATACCAGGATAGGAACAGACCTTCTCTAGAATATTTAGAGTCCAACAGTGAAATTTACCTTCTGTTAACTTAGAATTAGCCAGGATTATTCACTTCCCATTCAGCTCTGTCACACACACACACACACACACACACACACACACACACACACACACACACACACACATACTGTGCAACTGTGCCAACAATAGCCAGCACACTTTTGTGAATACTAGAGTCCACAAGACATTTTAACTCACAGCATAAAAAGCTTAGTCAAGAATAGCACAAAAATCTCAACAACCCTAGGACCAAATAATACCCAAAATGTATACGGTCTAAAGTCCTCATCAAATGGATGTGATGAATGAATAATCCAAACACTTCATTTAAGCCAGTAGTTTCAACCTCTTCTCATCCCAGTTCATATCTTGAAACTGATTAGGGGGAAAAGGAGGGAGTTACTTTTATTTTATCCTCTTCTTTCTCTGTCCCAAATTGTAACAGTTAGTTATTCATGAATAAAAGGCATGCAGCAGAAAAGAAAAGAAGCCAGAGTCTGGATAACATCATTCTTGGTCAACATCCCAGCCAAGAGTGGCCCAGATCTTTTCACAGACAAAATTGACATTCAATTATTATTTTTGATCTTTCTATTTTGCCAGCAATATTAGTTCAGATATAAACATCTGAGGTTTCAAAAGCTTGGTAAGGGGGTAAAAATGGACTTTCTGAAGTTTGAATCAGTGGTGTTTTAGCAAATTCAATAAAGACAAAAATTAACATTGCGTTCTTGGAATGTATCTACAGACAATGAGTATTTCTTCATTGCATACTACAGAGCCCGTTGCCAAGCTCTTACCTGATTGCAGGTGTTGATGTCTATGCCCCCCTTCAGATATTCCACTACTTTGTCAAGGTTGCCGGCTCTAGCAGCTCGAAGGAAGCTGGCATTGCTGTCAGACTGTGAGGAAAAAAAAAAAAAGACCTTTAGTGAATTACTGATAAAATAAAAACATATTAAAGATAGAAAGACAAGAATGTTTATACTGCATGTCAGAAAAGAAGATTCACTTGCAAAATATTTCAGTACTGAGTTTAAAGCATTGAATAATAATTCACAGTAAAAGGTAGCAATTCACAATTATTCTAGACAGTTGTTTCAAGGTATTGAAAGTCAATGGAAAATATAGTCTGTTATATTGAAAAGTGTAAGAGAATCATTAAAATGAAAATAATTGCTATTGCTTTATTCTAAATCTTCAGCCATATTTGAAGATGACTTTGTACTACCCCCAAGCCCACTGTTACTCTTTCATCTTAGCTTCAGAGACTCTGAGCCTAATGTCAAGCCAAAAGGAATCAGAAAACGGAAAAAAATTAAAGGCACTGAGTGTATTCTTTCTCTTCCTTTATTGTTCAGTTTTCACATGGGGCTGGTGGGTGATGCTGAGTGTGGGTCACTTGGCAGTCATCTGTCCTCATTACAGGCAGTACCGGGAAGCTCTGAGGATGCTTTGGGGAAAGAAGATACACTAGCTGGCAGGTGTGGACGGGGCTGACGCAAATTTTGTGATCCTGGTGATTTTAGGAAAACAAGATTAACTGCAAACCAGCTGACATAATACCAAATTAAAATTTCTTTCTAAAGATGATCTTTCTTGATGCAGACCTCTGGCTAAGTCCTCATCTTACTCCCACTCCCATCAAAATCGGATCCTGGGAGGATTAGCTGCATTTTTCCCACAAAACGTCCTGAGGAGAGCTGGTCCAGGAATTGGGCTACAGTCACCCTGCTTCTCTGGCTTCCTACAAAGCCTGACTTTCAAACCTTAACACAGTAGCGATGTTAAGCCTTTTGTGAGGTTCCAAGACACTTACATAATTTTCTAAGTCTTGCATTATAATACCTGACTAAAGGGAAGGCGGTAACATGAACAGGGACGTAGTTGCCCTACTAGGAAGCGAGAGCAGGTGTGGCGGCTCTCCGGCCGGCATCTCCTCCGCAGGCGACACTGCCTTCCTCCCTTGAAAAATGTACTTGGCAGGGGCTTTTGGCACACTCTCTCAGATCTCCTTATTACGACTAGTGATGATGTACAGAGACAGAAATGGAAGCATTTTCTCTGGGAGTCTCATATATGGGATGATTTGCATACTGGTAAAATGATTTACACATGGGAAGGCTGAAAACCCTAAGACTAAATTACCCCACATTTAACCCAAATACCATAATGGCTTATATGTTTGCAAATCACCTAATTTATGAAGCGTTGAGAGGTCTGAGTGAAATCTATACGTCTGGAATCCACAGCCTGACTCTTTAGAAATGTGTCTCCCCATTCCTCCCCATCCCCATGCTTCCCGAAAGCCCATCTGTGGCAGGCTGCCCTCGTCGTACCTGCAGTGCTGCAGGGACTGGGGTGTGACTCACTTTAAAATGCCTAGTCTGTGACATTATTCTGCAGTTTGCGGCAAATAACTAAATTCCAGGAAGATGTTTCCCCCACGGGTTCTTTGCCACAGCACTTACGGGTGAAACAGAGCCCTGTGCATTATGTTGTGTCAGTAACTCATGAGAAATATTACTTATTACAAAACAACAAAAATTAAATACTAGTAGGTGACCATTAGAAAGTATGACATCATTTCTCATATGTAGTTTAAAAATAGTAGTAGTTCTATGTGCTGTATGTTTATACATTCAAGATTGTGCTTAGAAAGTACTTCCATCTTTTACACAAGGCTTCCATTACAGGTGACATTTATTTAGGGTTCAGTGTGGGCACAGAGCTAAGGAGTCAGTCAAATGCATTATATTATTAATACAATAATACTACCACGAAGAAGCTATCTTTATGCTGATTGAATAGGTGAGGAAAGGTTTAGAAAGTTTCCAAGCTCACACATTACTCAATGGAAGACCAGAGATTTAACTCACATTAATCAGCCTCAAAACCATATTACCTGCTATTCTACCTCAACCCACCAAAACACCAAAGAAGATGTTTCTACAGATACCTGACCTACGAGCTACAGGTTTACATCATTTGTGATAACCATGGTATGTCCTTGGTCTACATACTCTGTAAATCATAGACTTGCTAAACAGAGTGTCTTAGCTGGTGAGAGAATTCTTGGCTAAAATCCCTCCCTCATATCTATCAGCCACCTATGTACCTAGAAAAATTCAGAGCTGACTTGAAACAAACTACCTAGAAACATATTAATTTGGGAATGAGGAAAAAGGGGGTAAAGTACACACCCCAGTGACTGTTTCTACATGCCTGATATGATTAAACTCAGGAACTAAGATCAGGGTGCTCCACCATTCATGTAAAAAAAAAGAAGTCCGTGAACAGGTAGAGCCAGAAAGGAGCACCTGGTCCAAAAGGGTGAAGAAACACCTGTATACAGCACTGTAAGAGCCTAGAGGGGGAGATGTTGGCCTGAAGCGGGCTGCAAGTGTCCCTGAGGAGCACGTTCTTCGGACCTTCTTAGGGACCGGGCATGACACTGAGGATTGCTTTTGCTGTGATTGATTTTCATAACTGTGTTTCTCTTTTCTGAGTCAAACTTCTAAAAAGTAGATTGCAAGTCTAAGACTTATAGCCAAGCCCTGGAATCTTAGAAAAAAAAAAAAGTTTCCAGTATTCTGGAGGGCCTAGACCCAATGGGAATGTAACACCTGAGCCCTCCTGCCAGGACTTCTTCAACAGCTGAGTGATACTAGACTTTGTTTTAAGTGAGATTCTTCTGGAACCCTGTTAAGGGACTTTATTCCCAAAGTGAGAAAATGCATTAAAAATGCATTTTGCAAATGCAAATAAATGGATGTATTATGAAATGTTTCCAGAACATGGGTGTAAAGAATAAAATTAAATTAGATTTCAAAATTTACGTATAGATATTGACATTATTGAAGATGAAAAGTAGAGACCTTCATGGAAATACATACTGTTCTCTAGCTTCCACGTAGACACAGGCATGTTCCACACTACAATGAGGTCAATCTGTGATTAAAACTCTTGACATGAGAGCTTAGGATAAACAGGAGTTAGTCTATCCTTCAATCAACAGAAGGATGAAAGAGGATTCAGGGACTCATGGTGAGAGATGCAGCAATTTTTACCATGCTGTGTTTCCCTCTCCATGACAAAATAAGAATTTCAAAATTAAGTGTAAGCAGAGGGAAAAGTATGTGTTCAAAATAGACTGATGCCTCCTAGCTCAACCAGCAGATTTCACACATAAAGGCACAATAAAGAGAGAGTGAGGCAATAGCAATTCCTGTGGGGGAAAGTCTCAGACAAATATAAGATTAACTTCTTTCTGCATAGCTGCTTCATGTCCCTAGGACTCTCAGATCCTGAAACCAGTTGTATTTATGCCTGTAAAGTCTAACTCTGAACAACAAATTCAAATGCTGAGCCCACTTACTCTCTGCAACAGATGGATGTCATTAAAACTTGCCCCCTTTTCAACCCTAGTGTGGCATCTCAAGCCAAGGAAGAAAAATTTCCTCTTAAATTCTTCTTGACACAGTTCTGTATGTTTTTTTGTAACTGAATGTTAGAAAAACAGCATACTTTCTTAGCACCCAGCAGGATGGCCATGAAAGGCAAGGAGGAATGTGTAATCACAGAATCACATTATATCCTAAAGGAATGCTTCCCTAAAGGGTCTAGGGGCATATTCATAGGGACCCAAAAGTTTGCTACAATTTTTAAATTGTGTTCACAGGTCAATGAATGGCTAGATGGCTACCCTTTAACTGAGTACAACCATTTAATTTTGGTATATGCTTTTTGTTTATAATTCAGGGCATAACAAGTGAGGTAGAGGTGATATAAATATGCATGATATGCAAGAAGTTTTGCTGTAATCCAGAGATTGGTCAGAGAATCTGGTCATCATACACAGCAGGAAAGTACTGACATAAAAACCAAAAGAATTTTAGCACAGCAGTCAGTGCACATTAAAGTTGCAAATAAACATAAGGCTTGGATGCTATTTTTGTGCTGTCCAACTTGCATCAACCATTAGCAGTGAATGCAATAGGAAATCCACAGTGAAACATTTTTCAGTTCCAACTTTAGCTCTTATTAGGTATACATCTCTACTACAATGTTAATCACATCTCAAAGTAAATAAAGTGAGTTTTAAATGATTATCAAATGTCATGCGATTAAAAGTGACATTGGCAAATTTCTCTGATAGCTCTAAGATTTATTATTCTGAAGTAGGAAACAAAATCTTAAATGTATTAATAATAGTTAATATAACTTCGTTACAAAGATGTTCTCTATGTTGTTTTCAATAAAGTCCAATTCCGAAGTATATTAAATTATAGAATTTAATTCTATAATTAAAATTAAAATTAAAGAGGTTAAATCTTCTTATTAAACTCAATTTCTGTAATTTAGCCTTAGTTCTATCCATTCTACTAAATTGGTGTCATTTATTTTAATAATATTCTGGTGCTTTGTTTATGCTTAATTTGTAAAATTTTCTGTTCAGCAATGATCTAAGACTTTAAGGAACTTTATGTAGTTTTGTTTTTATACTTAAATTAACACTATGATGAAAACAACAATGCTGGAGGACATGTATTTTTTTATACTTTAAAAGAGTTTAATACATTATTCAATTTTGAAAAGCACTAGTCTAACAGTGGGACTCAGCCAGCAACCTCTATTAGCTGAGAGACAGTGAAACAGGCACCTCCCCTCCACACAGCCTCTGGCTTGGAGTGTACCCTTCACAAATATTTGCTGAATATTCTTGTGGAATTTGAAGAATTTGCCTATTTTCTTAAGATGCAGTTATTCCTTTGTAAAAACAGGGTCATTTACCTGTCTACTCTGAGATCCACATTTGTATAGCAATACAAAATAAATAACATTTATTAAAATAACCTGAAGGGGAAAACCTTAATATGAACATCATGAAATACAGGACATT